TGCAAATGACAATCACTACCGCACAAAGAGGAAATGTGTGGTAGTCATGATGGACTTGTTTGTTGTCGGAGCAGAGATAATTAAAACACAGCGTTACCACATTGTTTAAACCGTGCAATCCCTGCGTGAAATTGCCGTTTGTGGTTCTATCCCAGTCAAGGATCATGTGGAGTGACTGCAGCTACCTCCAGCAATAAACTGAAAATGCCAGAGAACTTCAACACACACTGAACAAATTATTCTTCAGTTAAAAGGAATGTTTGTTGGCTCACAATGTTAGATGTTTTAGAAGCCTTGAGGAAAGATAATGCATCCATTTATCTCTCAGTGGATTGAATAATGGTTACCTGGTGATTCCATGAGCTAAGAAATGCAATTCTTTTCGTATGTGATTTTACCTCAGTTGCTGTGTCAAATGTAATTTTAAGTTTGTAGAATTCACAATCCTTTTATGATATGAACAACTAACTAACAAAATATATGAATCAAAAGAATAATTGAAGAAAGAGGAAAACAAATTTCTGAGATTTCTCTGGTTGGAACTGAACCAGCGTCTTGATAAATGTTACTTTAACTGCTATAGAATGTTGGTTGCCAAGCGACCAAAAATAGCTAAATTTAACTTTCAAATGAACGGAGCAGTCAAAACGACTGCTGTGGAAGATAAAGAAAGAACTCACATCTAAAAAATAAAAGGATGCTTTCATAGAAATAATTGAATAAATAATATAGAATTAATTTGGGGCCTGAAGGTCGTGGGTCCGAGCCCAAAACGAGACCTGCCTCACGACTCCCACTGATGACTGCTGTTGTTGTGTCCTTGGGCAAGACACTTAACCCCACTTTTCCTGAAGCCCCCGCTGAAAGATCAAGCCTCCTGTGGACTCTCCACCTGCAGGAGGATCAGTCAGGGGCTGGTGCTCTGTGGCCTGGGTGCAGCTCTGACTGCCATCCCCCCGACCCAGAAACGGATTAAGGGGAAGAAAATGGAAGGATGGATGGATATACAGTGTAGATATAGAAATTCTGGAAGACCAAGAATGTACATAATCAGAGTAATTACACTTCCAAAACTTAAATTGCTAGTGTTAAATCTAGTGTTACCAGTTTGCTTCTAATACAACTTTCTTTCTCGAGCTGCCCCCCAAAGTTGGTCCTACCCTTACCCTAACCCAAGCTTTACAGGTTTGTGATGTTGATTGTTTTTACATGTCGTCACCTCCACCTCCCTTCCCCTGCCCCCCTTCCCTCAGATCAGCTCTCCCCTTCAGATCTCTCTCCCCGCTGTTCCACCGATGACCAAAGTAATTAAATGTCTGGTGTTCTGTCCGCGGGGCAAGAGAGGGTGCTGGTGGTGCAGCAGTGACGGTGATGGAGGAGGCCGCGTGCGCAAAGTGAATTATGTCTGCATCATTTGGCCAGAGTCGGAGCCAGACAGGGCTGTGGTTGTCATGTGTCAGGGTAGTTTCACAATCATATTTTAACGATTGGGTAAATGAAATATTTGGAGATCTTGGCATCATTTGTTGAAGGTTGAAGATATTGTAACCTCAGCCATGAAACAGCCACAGAAAGTATTTTGTTTATGCAGCTTACAAAACGGTTTTCAACTAACCCTAACCCTATAAGTAAGTCATCTTTTTATATATATATATATATATAACACCTTTCATAGACCACAAAGGACTAAAATTTTGACTCTTTGCAAAAAGTATTGAAGAAAAAGCTTGTGTCATAAATAGAAATAATATGGTCATGATACTATATCAATAATTTAAAAAGGTATTTGAATTCCAGTTTAAAATGGGATTTCTGTGAATATGCCGTCTCAATTACTGCCGTTTTTGAAAATTATTTTTCAGGTTGTTAACTGTTGCAGACTATTCATCTATCAACACAAAAGCCCTGTACATAAATGGTAACACAAGGACCTATAGCAACGTAAAGCGCTTAACAAAACAAGGAGCATTAAAATCATAAATACAATTTCTTTAAAGCTCTTAAATAATGCAAAATGAATTTCTTTCTCTATCCTCTGGCATTGTATTATTATTAGTTAATTCTTATATTTTTGCTCTATGTTGGACTGTTTAGGCTTTTACAAAGTGGTGACAAAAACCTGCTATAAAAGGCTGCGTTGGTTCAATACAAATAATCTTTAACTTCATTATACAATTTTAATCAAACCACTCACGGTGTACAAGTCATCACTAAGAAGCTGTTCTGTAGGGGCATCTTAAGCTTTGGTCCTGGGCTTGATTCCATGTCCAGACGGGGCCTTTTTCTGAGGAGTTTGCATGTCTGTATCTGCACTGTTTTCCTCCGGTTATCCCTACCACTCTTTTGGGACCCCACTTCCATCACTGTATGGAGTGACAGGACAAATACCCCACAAAACCTGTTATACATTTATATAATCACTCACTCATCTTTCAGGATCTGAAGAAATGGACCTGCTGAGGACACTGAAGACTTACCCATTTAGACGCAATCCTCAACACAAGGACATATTAACGTCTGCTTTAACCATTCATGTGTAATCGGTTATTGCAGCAGAGGTAGTGAGTGTCAGATTGTGTTATTGAGTGATCCGACTGAAAGATTCACACTGGTTTTAAATATTACCACATTGGAGATGACCCTCTGTGGCCTCTGTCCTGGGTCTCACTTCCTGTCATCACACTGCTTTAAAACAGGAGCCTGCGGTGCCTGAAAAATGGCAACTGAAAACAGATGTGGCCAAAAAAAATTATGATTTTGAAAGATTTGTGACATTAGCATCAGTGGAATATTTAAAAAATGACAAAATATATGTTATGAATTATTGCTTGAAATGGGCAAATGTGTGGGCATTTTGATTTACATCTTAAATCAAAATGTACCTTTGTATAAAATGTAAATGTATCTGTCTGTAGTGGGTAGAATCTAATCTTTTTATTCATAAATAATTTCATAAACTGTTTGTCGAACAGAATGAGTCTTGTAGAAGAAAATTCTGTGTCATGCTGTCTTCATCTTATTTGAAAACCTTTTATATTTATGCATACAAAAAAAATGGCGCACAATGCTATATTCTGACTGAATTCTGCCAATGGGACAAGCCTTTTAGTCTTTTATTTCAAGAACTGTTGCTTTATTTTCTCATTCCAAGGGAGACATTTCTTGTATCTACATGTATTTTAAAACCTTAAAATCATTTTGCTTTGTCCCATTGGCAAATCTTGTTTTAAGGCAGTCAGAATGTGCTTAAATTAAGTTTCATTTAGCCAAATTTGAGCAATTTTTGACTGATTTTTCCTCACTGTTTGCAGTGTTGACGCTTTGGACTGAGAGCTGAATAAGGGCGGCCCTGGGTTTTTCACTTTTATGTCTAAAAAAGCCGATCTAACAATGTGACAGAGGCCAAAACATACTGTACATGCATGTGAAAACTAGTGATATAGAACCAAACAGTTTTGAGAGTAAGGAACTAGTTACATGGATTTTCTTACATAGTTCCATTATTTGCTCAAGCTAGACCCCAAATAATCATCAATCATTTGCTATTATAACATTTTTGAATTACTAATAAAGGAATTAGTAATTATTCTCCTTCTTACTTGGATGCTACACTGTTTGCTCTTCTCAAATGTGGCGAGACTTAAAGGAGCAAAGTGGCTGCTGGAGTTGGTTGGAGGCATTGTTATGAAGGTGTCTGCTGGTAACAAGGCCACCGCCACAGGGAGCTGCTAATGGCCGGGGTTTGTGCCTATGTCCTGCAGTCGGGCCTCGTCATGGGAATGTGGCGGCTCTCATTAAAGTTGAATAGATGTTCGGCTGAAGGAGAAGTGCACACGGACACAGAGAGACCTCCCACTGTGTAAAGTGTTGTTCCTTGTTTACGTTCCATTACAGACGCGTTAGTCACGACAGAACCTTCTTAATGGACTTTTTAATGCCCTCAAGTACTGTTACTTCTTATAAAAAATGTATAAATTATAAAGAATGGAGTCAGTTTGCTAGACATGTGGAAGAGTATTAGGGCAAAAGTTGGCTAAAGGATTATAAATTGAGGCAAAACTGAACCCAGAAAACTGATATCAATATTGACAACATTTGTGAATTGAGTTTGATCTGGCTTGAATTTCGAACACAAAAATCTTGAATGTCCTGTTTTCAATTCATTTTATTTTTGTATAGCCCTAAATCACAACAGCATTTGTCTCTGAGGACTTTACAAAGTCTCATTTCATTAATGAAATGGGTGGTTAACTAAAAATGTTAAAAACGCTAGACCCGACAGCCTTAGAGTGTATTAAGATTTTTTTTCAGCCTTTAACATCACAATAAAATATGTGGAGGGAAAATATATTCATACAAAGGCGTATCGCGATAAACAATTATATAAAAAACAACTTTGTGAGACTGGTGCAATTATCAAACAGCAGTAAAATCCCTGTGAACCATTGTTAATTTGTCTTTATAATTCTGTTTGTTTTATGTGATGATTTGTGCCTTGTGTGATGTGAACTGTAAAGCGCTTTGTGTTGCCCTGTGTATGAAAGGCGCTCTATAGTAAGAATTGATTGATTGATTAAAATTCATACACTGAAAACAAACAACAGAATTAAGACATTTTGTTTGTAAATTAATGAATAGTTATTGAACAATACATCACCCTGATATAATATTTATAGTGATTATTGTGTACTTATGTAATGTGATCTTGTTGTGCGTACAGGATGAGTTGGATACATAAAGATCAATACTAAAAATACTTTTGCTACATCCTCTTTTCATTGACTAATCAGTTAGCGGGAATGTTGTCAGGCATCTATAATTATTGAGCTGCAACATTCACTTGTCTGTGTTGACAGCGAACCTGCAATCAATCTATTTATATTTGGCTCTGATTCAGTCTGTAGTCGTGACCTTGTGTGTGGCGCGTTTGTTTTTGTGTTATATTTCTGACGCTGTGATTCCTCTCCTCCAGCTGGCAGGCCTGGGGAGGGACAGGGAGCATGGCTGAAGCGCGGAGGGAAAGCACGAGCAGCCTGCAGAGGAAGAAGCCTCCATGGCTCCGGCTGGACATCCCCACGGCGCAGATGTCACTGGACGAGCCCCCCACTTTTGTCCAGGTGATGAAAGCAAAAAAAACATAATTGTAATGTTTTGGGGGTTTTTTCCTTTAAATACTAAATGCCATGATGGAATGGATGCTGAAATGTGTTGAAAAGACGTTGCTTTTGGAGTCTTTTCTGTCTAAGCTGAGACCAAATTTGAAATAAACAGGTACAAGACAAATAATTGAACTTGAGCTCGGATAAAACTATTAAAGTAAAGAATACACTCTCATGATGAGATAGGAGGCTGGTATGCCTTGAGTAGTGCCTTGAGTAGTGCATGTGCATAAATGAGGTCATGAGCCAATCTCGATAATAACAATAACTTGTAAACCAGGGTGTCAGACATGAGACCATTTCAGTGGCCCCAGAATTATTTTTAGGCAAGTTTATTTGTATAGCACAATTCATACACAAGGCAACTCAAAGTGCTGAACAAAACAAGAAATCATTAAAATCATAAATAATCACAGAACATTAAAAAGAAAGATAAAAATATAAAATCCCTCAGTTGTATGCACAGCTAAACAGAACTGTTATAACCTGGTTTTAAACATTGTCAGAGAGGAGGCCTGTCTCACATCTTCAGGGAGACTGTTCCAGATTTTAGCAGCATGAATCTGAAAAGCAGCCTCCCCATGTTTAGTTCTGACTCTGGGCACTAACAGGAGTCCAGTCCCTGTGCTCCTCAGAGTCCGGGCTGGTTCATATGGGACTAACATGTCACTAATATATTTTGGTGCGAGGCCATGGAGAGATTTGTACACAAGCAGAGCTGTTTTAAAGTCTATTCTCTGAGCCACAGGAAGTGATTTTTATTAACTACAAGCAATGATGGTAAGAGTTTAATATGGCAGAAATTCTGTTATCAATAATTTAAAAGCTTGTATACCCACAAAACTACTAGATGATAACACGTTCACACGTTGAACCCAAAATGCGATTAGTCAGAGGTTAATGAAAAATCAAGTAAATAAAATAATTGCCCAATCCGTCTAAAACAACAATCCTTCCTCACTGCTCATTCAGCATCCTGTTTTGGTTCATACCACACATATCTTTACTTATTTTGTTCAGAATAACCTCCCAGAAAAGAATATCCCTTATCCTGTTAAAATTATTTTGCAATATCTTGTACTTTATCTTTTCATTTTCATTTCATTTCATTTCATTTCATTTCATTTCATTTCATTTCATTTATTTCAAACCTGCAGGTGTATACAAACAGGAAAAACAAAATACAAGGTCTGCTTGGTTTGAAAGGGGGATGATGGAAGCTTACGCTTATTCAAAACCACCCCCCCCCACACACTCCACTTGCAGACAAATCATTTACACAAATAATTACAACACAAGACATTCAATATTCAACACAACACAACAAACACAGGCCCAATACTCACCAACCCCACACCCCTCTCCTACTATCACAATTACAATTACATAAAGGTATCATGTTCTCTCACCCAGGTACTTTTCCATCACAAGGCTTTTAAAATGTCGTTTGAACTGGGTCAAATTTAAACAGTTTTTTATGTCCTCAGTGAGTCCATTCCACAAACTCACTCCTCTTACAGAAATACACATAGACTTGAGTGTTGTTCTGACTCGTGGTTGGTATAATCTATGGACTCTTCTCAAATTCACTTGGAGCTGAGTGTCTCTATCACGAAAAAGATTTTGGATGTTTGCTGGAAGAGAGTGTTTTGATACCTTGAACATAACTTGTGCAGTTTTATAATTGACCAAGTCCTCTAATTTTAAATCACTGTTATTAATAAAAAGCTGGTTTGTGTGCTCATTGTAAGGGACTTTGTGAACGATCCTAAGTGCTCTTTTCTGGAGTGTAATCAAAGGCAATAGGTTTGTTTTATAACAATTTCCCCAAACTTCAATACAATAATTCAAATGTGACATTACAAGTGAGTGATACAATATTTGCAGTGCTTTTACATTTAGTACACAACTACATTTCTTGATGACACCAACACACTTGGCAACTTTTGAACGTAAATAACTAATATGGGGTTTCCAGGAAATATTTTCGTCCAGCATCACCCCCAGGAACAAATTTTGCTGGACCCTTTCAATTTGAACATCATCAATAAATATGTTAACAGTTTTATCCAATTTTCTCTTTCCAAATAACATTACTTTAGTTTTTTTTTAGATTTAATGATAGTTTATTTGAATGGAACTTAACTGGAATTTAACTGTGGACTGTATGGTATTGTGTCCTTAATAGAAGTGTGAGCACTAAACCTGAATGTAGTATGGACAAATGGGGTCAGTTATTTTTATTGATGTGTAGTTGTTCTTTTCTCCCCTTTAAAAAAAAAAAAACTTGTTTCTTCGCTTTCTCCAAAAGCCTAACCAGGGACAGGGGCTGAAAATTAGCCTTTGGCTAGAAGACCCCACATCGGTTACCTGTGGGTGACAATGTTTTTTTGTACTGTCCCTGTCAAATAAATAAATAAATAAATAAATAAATAAAAATGAAGATGAATAAAATAAATAAAACAATATTTTGAGTCAATTTTATTGTGCATCGGTGTAGCCTAACCCTTGTGTGTTGTGTGTCTGCAGCCCATGAAGAGACAGGGCTTCCTCCGCAGCGTCAGCATGCCTGTGGAGACGGTGCACCTGCAGTCTCCGCCGCGAGACTTCGACAGCAGGCGACCCGTGCTGCAGCGCCAGTCCTCCATCACCCAGACAATAAAGAGGTAAACCCTGCACTCAGCTCTGTGGACCTCTGCACTGTGGAGAACTCACCTTTAGCAAGTAACAACTGTAAGGCTGGTATTCTCATATGATTCAAGAATTAAACATGGAAACTCTTGGTGCGTTCACACTTGATCCAATTGAAACTGTGCCGTCATGAGGACTCTTGTATTTGCTTCTGAAGTGAGTCCACCTGAACAATGAGTGCTCTTTGCTGAATCCCAGTTGTATCACTTCAGTCTTTCTTGCCTTCACTCAAGCAGCTTACAGTAAATGCACAGAGCACACAATACAATACATTCAAAAGTCATCACACAACGCTTTCCTCTTAGCTTATTTCCCAGCTTTTCTTTTTTCTTCTGTATTTCAGCATTATTAGTGTGAGATCAAGCTGCACCAAAACTTTCATAATAATATTTGTCCACTGCTGAAATTAAGTTAAGTTAAGAACACCAAATTAATAATGAGGATGTGTTCAAAAGCATTAGAGAAAACTGGATATCTGACTTTGTCCAATTTAATTTGACTAGGTGAACCGGCGCGTCAGTTCAGGTGTGAAACAATATTCTGTTTGGCGTAACTGAATCAAAATACTTCAGCTGTGATTATGCAAGCATGTAACCAGGTAAACCTAATACTACTGAGACAGCAGAGACATCAAAGAGCACAGGACAAGTCTGTATCAGAAATGTACTGTACTGTATGTGTGTGTACGCATATGGGCTACAGTGGTCCAGACGTGGTCCAGTGTAGAAAGAGCAAGTATCACACACCAAAAAATTAATTTATGAAATGCAGATGAGAGAATCCAAATTTCAGAAAACAGGGTAGAATTGCACACTCAGCTCTGATGTCCAAAATGTTTTTGTGTATCCATGACGTTTTGGATTTGTATCTTCATCAGATTTTTCTTTTTCCCTTTGACCACAAAATACCAGTCACGGTCCAGTCATGGTCCAGTCGTGGCCACGCTGTTTTGAAATCATTAGCGTACCCTGTATTTTATGTCTTATGGCTTTGTAAAAATTCTCAATAATGCAATAAGTCTTTCATCATTGCCTGTGATAAAACAGACTTATTACAGTTATATTTATTTGTATATGACACAACTATAACATTTAGGATAATTGTTGTTCCACTGCTAAAGTACTGGTTGGAGGCAGCCCTATTGTGATTCCCCTAACCTCTTCTTGCACTGAAGCTGTACCTAACTGTGTCTGCATGCTCCTCTGCACATCCAGCTGCCCTCTTCACTGCCTCTTCTCTCCTCTTCTCTGTCCTCTTCCTCCTCCTGTCGTCTCTGCGTCTGTGGCTCCGGTCGCAGCAGCAGGAGAGTGCACTTTGAGCGGATTAACACGGTCCCCATAAAGGGCCAGCGAGCTCTGCGCCGCAGCGTCCGGAAGCACCACTCTCTGTCCCGAACACTGCTCAGGTACGGCAGCTGGGAAGGGACAAACCTCGGCTCTTGTTTACAGGTGGAACGGTAACGTAATGGACATAACTTTTAGTCTCTAGATGTGCAAACGGGGTTCCACAAAGTATGAATTAACTCATGTTGTCTGAATAATTATGAAGGCCCCACTTTTCTGTGTTTTATACAAAATCAACAAGTATGTGTCATGTTGCTTTCACTTTCCAGATGGTCTTGAGAATAAATCTTTATGTTTGAGGTTTTAAACATGACAAAATGTACACAAGTTCAGGTGATATTGACATATTTGCAACCCACTGTAGCTCCATTACTTTGGAATTTTTGTCAAAATACAATGAATATTATTGTATTGTATGATTATTATTTTTGGACTTCATGAAAATCTCACAATTCAGCAAAGGTTTTAAGGGAACGGGTAAAACAACGGCAATTGTTGCTATTTTAGACTCAAAATATATGATATTTTTGGTTTCACAGAAGATAGAACTAGAGGCCTTTTAGATTCTAGATGCTCTGCGATAATTAAAAGTTTGTCAAAAACTCACAGAGCTTCTAGAATCTGAAAGCCTTTTGTTCTATCTTTTGTCAATCATTGCCAAAAATAAACTTTGAATTAATAACCCAAAGCAAACATTTGGTTCCTGTTATAAATTCCTCTTAATTTGAGTAACACGGATGCCCCGCCCGTCTTCACAAAGTCCACATTCTTGTCCACATCTGTGCGGCAGCGTTCAGTGGATGGCGATGGTTTGAGTCATCGTATTTCTATAACTCCAGGTGCGAACCTGCGGGTGCAAGTAACATAGTGTGGGCAAGTTCAGTGGGTTAGTTCTATAGAACTCATGTATCATAAACCACTTTGGGTAAACTTTTATACAATGTATTGAGTCAGATTGGCAGGTATTTTCAAATTTGCTGGTACAATTTTTTTAATCAGTTGAAGGGTAAAAGGTAAATTGACACTGTGCACTGACACTGTGCACTAATAATCAAGATTAAAGACAGTTCAATGGCTTATAGCTATTTACAGCGTGTTAATCACTTTTGCACACACTACCCCAAAGTATCACCCGACACTAACAGTAATGAGAACATCTACTTTCTACATTTTCTGTCACAACACAAGTGCAGATTTAGTTTTATTTTCAGTCATCCTCAGTCTTAGCTCATTTTGGGTGAATTATTATCTGGGTCACCTCCACAGATCTGACCTGACTGCGTGGTAGAGTTAGGAACATTTTTGGCATGTATCTGGTGGCCAGATGTCCCCATTTACCCAGGACGTTCCGGTCAAGTTTTCAAGTTTTATAATATTGGATGTGTCCGCTTTTTCTTACAGAACAAACGAAATACATAATCTGGATATTATCAAGCCAAAATAGGGATGACATTGCCTGACTGAAAGAAGAAGAAAAGTCGGTCTAAGTCTAAGTCTAAGAATGCATAATTATGTATACTAGACATGCTTTTTACAACTCTTTTCATAAAAACTATCTATGGTCACCCTTGACATAGAAGCCATACAGTACATGGGCCATGCTTTATGTTCAAAACCACTTACGAACCACACCAAAGTTTCCGAATGAAATGGTGTAGTGTGGTGTTTATCTCCCCGCAATTATCCAGTTGCAGAAAGAACAAGGCAAACAAACTAAGCCCACGCTGCAGCTCGTAATTATAGAACAAAAACTCACCACATCTTTCCTTTGAAGATAGTTTCCACTTCCTGGCGCATGAATGATATTTACTCTGTTTGTTATCAGCTTTAAGTTCAACAACCTCCACCTACAAAGAGCTGCCGCACTCCAAACAGCCCATAAAACACACAGCTGAGTTCTCCCAAGAAATAAAATGTAACCATATCTTTCTGTCTTGAATGAGTTTGTGTGTGTGTGTGTGTGTGTGTGTGTGTGCACCTTGCTCCTAGTTTTTGTGTGTCCTGTTACAAACATGCCCAGACTAGTTCCCTCTCTGGCTCCTCATATTGGCCTTGGACACTTTCACTTTTTGCCATTTGAAGTCAATAGCTTCTTCCATGATCTAGTGATACATGTTGAACTCCCTATATACAGTATGTATACACAGAGTAATGAGATTTTGTTTGTTGCATTAGGGGCACGGCGGACTGGTTTGGGGTGAGTAAAGATGGCGACGCGACGCAGAAGTGGCAGAGGAAAAGCCTCCGTCACTGCAGCCTCAGATATGGGAAGCTGAAGCCGCAGGTGATCCGCGAGATGGACCTCCCGAGTCAAGACAACATCTCGCTAACCAGCACTGAGACTCCGCCCCCTCTCTACGTCCCCTCCTCTCAACATGGGATGCAGAAGGTAACGCCATTCAACTTTATGTCTTAGGTACCCAGAAATGACCACTGTCCAACAAATGATTTATGGAAGAACACTATAATCACGATGTAGGGCTGGAAAAATCCAGTTGGTAAGTCAATTTTTTTTGTTTTTGTCAGCTGTGTCCAAATATAGACTGGTTATACCTAATATTAAAGATCAGAATAAGTCACTTGTTATATTATAATCCTCACATTTTTAGGAACTGGTGAGATTATAAGCAATCCTCCTTCAGCCAACTTCAGCTCCATCAAGTACATGTTGATGTTAAAATCCTGAGAAGCCAGAATGATCATCTGTTTTGTACATACACTGTAAAATGTCGATTATTTACTTTCTGCTGTCTACAAGTTTTAAACTCATTTTCACAAAGTTACATTACTAAAATATTGATTTTAAATATCTGTGTTCTTTGTGTTTTTGTGGCTCTCTAGCATCAAAGAATAGAGCTTTTATTCCCTAAATATGGGATGAACGTGACATTTTATGGTGGTTAGAAAATTCTGCCTATATTCTACCTTCTAAATCCTTAAAAATATGGATTGGTTTAAAAAAATAAAAAATAAAAACTTTAAATGAAATAAATGTAATCTATAATCTGTAAAATAAATGTGTAAAGCAAATCTCAAATGCCCAATACATTTGACAAGATATGAAATGTGACATAACATTTGTCATTTGAATCCTTTGAACCGCCTTAAAACACTGGTTCTAAAATTAGATTCAGGTTTTAGATCTAAAAATAATGTCCAAACTATGCAGCAGTGAAAGGCATCGACATTATTTAAACTACATTTGTCTCGTATGGTGTATAAACCTGCTCACATTGTAATCGAGAAAAGAGAATTGTAAAAGAGAATATTATTGAATTGCCAAGAATACTTTTGTCAGATTAGCAATTGTTTTTTCAATTCGTGCTCCCGGCTCTGTTTTAATGCTTTTCCAAAATGAATGAGTTCGTGCTGTTTTCACTGCGGTGCCACTCATTTGAAAAATATAACTCCATCAAGTGAGGATTGAGACTTTGTGCATCATTTCAAATTATACACAAAAAATGTTTAATCCACAAAAAATAAAATGTAAAACACCAGTATTTCTTCTTAAAAAAATACATTACATAGACAACACATTATAATCACATTATAATTGAGAAAATATTATTGGGTTATTTTTGTGTGGAACTATTTATGTAAAAGTATCTATTGCCATTCAAAGTATTTATTATGTGCTAATTGAACACTTTATATTTGAGTGTTTCCAATGTTTTCAAGACATGTATGTTTTTTCTTTATTTTATTTTTGTTTATTCTTTTCCAGCCCTATCTCAATTTTTTTTTAACTTACAACTTTTTTCTTTTAATTTATTTATATATTATTATTTAGTTTTATATTGTAGTTGGGGGTGGGAGTAAACAACTATTTCACTTCTTCTCACTCCCTTTCAAGCAAAGAGCATTACTTCATTGTTAAGAAAAAAATAATGTAATCTGTATTAATGTATATTGTTTACTATAACGTTTCGGAATTTAAGTTTTGTTATTGTGTCATGCTCATGCTTCATTCGTGCCCTTTTTAAGAACTAAATACCAGAATATTTGAATCATGAAACACACATTGAATATGATGTAAACACACAGATGCATTGATGGTGTGGTGCCTGTGTTCAGATTGTGGACCCTCTGGCTCGGGGCAGAGCGTTCCGGATGGTGGAGGAGGTGGATGGGTACAGTGTTCCGCAGACCCCCATCACCCCCGGAGCCGCCTCCCTCTGCTCCTTCACCAGCTCTCGCTCCGGACTCAACCGGCTCCCGCGCAGACGCAAGAGGGAGAGCGTGGCCAAGATGAGCTTCAGGGCCGCGGCGGCACTGGTCAAAGTGAGACGAGTAAACAATGCATAATGAGAAGATAAGATGCTGCTGAGAATAATCAGGGATTCAGAGCTCACACAGTCGATTGGTGAAATACTATTCTATCATCTACATATTTAGTTCTGTTCTGCTCCAACCGTATCAGCTGAGACAAAGGAGGATTTTCTATTTTTGCTATTTTAGGTCCAAACATTCATATCACATTAATTCCATGTTTATTCCTGTCATTTTTAACAGCATTATTACATTGACAAAGTTATGAAATATAATTGTAACTGACTAAAAAAGGCTGTGGCAGTGACATGTTTCTGCATTGTTTGGATTGTTTTGGTGGCAGTATGAACCAAAGCTTTCCAACAGACATGATATTAAAACAACTCATTGGTTTGATCATAGTAACCTGCATTATTAAAGATAGTATCATATATCTTCTTCTGATTTAAAACTATTGGCAAATACCCGATGTTGCCTGAGACAGTTTCATGTATGGATTGATATAAAATAAATGTTGTTGTTGCCGTAGGGACGGTCATTCCGAGAAAGCACGCTGCGCAGGGCCCATCGCCGCAGCTTCACTCCGGCCAGCTTCATGGAGGAGGACGTGATGGACTTTGGAGATGAACTGGACACGTCCTTTTTTGCCAGAGTGAGCTGGGCATATATTTATTTTATTAACTTAATACATTTCACTGTCTTTTCTTTTGTATCTCAATAAGAGGATTATAGAAATCAAATTATTATAGTGTAAAAAAAAATCATAATCAATCAGATTTCTTGTATCACTCCTCGAATTAAAGATGGAGCACCATATCTAACCTTTTATTTTCTTAATATTACATAAATCAGACCACATCATGCTGGCTTTATTTTTTTGCATACTTGTAAGAAAGAGCCATCTAAAGATGGCATTATATTTTATGATCAGGTTAAGGTATACTATTTATTGTCTCCAGGAAGATTTGCGAATCATTGTTTACACGTATATTAAACTTTAGAAATTCTATCCATCCTTTTTGTACAATAAAACATATACTGACAGTACTGTAAGTGAATGTAGTTTAACGTGGCACACAGGACATCATGATGCAGGAGGAGATGTCCACGTACGCAGATGAGGTGTTCGAGTCTCTGTCTGAAGCCGCCGTGAAGGACACAGAACCCAGCAGCAAGAAGGACGAGGCCGAGCTGACGGGCAGCGCTCTGGACAAGTCTGAGCTGGAGCGAAGTCACCTCATGCTGTGAGCGAAGCCGATTTAACTCTTTACATTCAGTTCAGAGCAGGCAGCACGTGGAGATAAGCCTCACGGGTCACACAAGTGCTGACCGAGGAAAAATATTGAGCGGCAAGAAGGGCCAAGTCAAGATTTTCAACTATTTCAGCCTTTTACCAAATTAATAGACCATAGGTAATATTTCCCAAACCGTGGCGTCTTCTCTTTCTCAGCATTTCACATTGATTTTTATGAATTTATTAATATCATCCACCATTGTTATTATTGAGTAGAAATAGTTCTCAATACCTGGCAATGTTTTGGATCTAAAGGATATGCTAAATGGTACGAGGTGTAATGTAAATGTAAATGTTTGGGCCTAAAACTTACCATTGTAAAATAGGCCAATGGTTTAAAGCTGGGGTACACACCTTTCAAACCATAACAAAAAAATCATCTTATTCAGTTTTGTGGTTCTTTATTTGGTTGAGATAATGCATGATACTGAGCATGCCACTCCAAATTGTACGCTTGAGCTAATTTATCAGTTTTAGAGGTATGGGAAATGTGAGGAATCCTATGCAAAACACGGGGAGAGCGTGCAAAATCCACCCAGAAATGCCCCGTCCTGGCTCTACAACAGCTTGGTTCTATCACTAGTTTTCACATGCATGTATTTTTGGACTATATCACATCTTTATATGAACTGAGAGAGGGTGGTTCTGTCTTTTTCACTTTTCCGTCTGAAAAAGCTGATCTCATTATGTGCCAAAAATACATGCATGTGAAAACTAGTGTGTGAACCAAAGTACCCCTGCATAATATAAGCGTACATCTCCAAACAATTTAACAATCTAACATCTAATGCAATCATCCAAATAGAAAATAACTTTAAATATCATAAAACTTCTTCTCACTAAAATCCTCGGGAAAAAAAACAAGGGTAGATTATACAAATGCTCTCCTCTATATGAAATTAATGACGTTAATTTGCTCTGCTTGTTCCAGGCCGTTGGAGCGAGGATGGAGGAAAGCCAAAGAGGGGACCCCCGCCCCCCCGAAGGTGCCTCTGCGTCAGGAGGTCATCAGTAACTACGGGCAACGGCGGGGACAGCGGATCGGACTTCCTGTGAAGAAACTGTTTGCGCGAGAGAAGCGGCCGTACGGACTCGGGATGGTGGGAAAACTCACCAACCGGACGTACCGCAAACGCATTGACAGCTACGTCAAGAGGCAGATCGAAGACATGGACGACCACAGGTAGAACATGCAGATCCAGGAGGCGCTCTCACATGGAAGCGGACTCTGGTTCTGGATCATTTCGCTTCATTTGTGGAGCTGTGAAAGCGCCAAACAAGTGTACGCTGGTCCAGTCGTCACATAAGTCAGTTGACATATCATCCAAAATCATACTTTTGTACATCAGAAACTTTTAGCGCAAGCATGTAACTCTGTCTCAGTATGATGTCATTCAATTATGACATCACACAATTATTATGATAAAAGATATGCTCAATAAATTAATTTTGATAATTTCTAGATGGAATGACGTTCTTTACAATTGCATGGCTGTGTTAGAGGGCCTGTAATCAAATTTGGGAAAAACAAATTCATCTCCTCACTCTGGTGGTAGCATAGGGAGTTACAGGCTTTAAGCATTTCTTACCCTTCTACTTGTTTCACCGTATATATTTTGTACTTAGATGTTTATTCACATGGTCAAAGATACAATGACAAAGTAAACTGGCTAGTAAAAATGACACTAAGCTAATGTATTCTATTGTCTTAGTTAAGTCTCTGATGTTGTTGAATTTGCTTCTGAAGTGAACCGAGTCATGTTTTCCAGAATGACTGTGAACGTGGCCTTAATTGAGTTGCATTTCTAAACAAAAATGTGAATGATATTATATGTTGTGTCTGTTACAGGCCTTTTTTCACTTACTGGATCACCTCGGTCCATTTACTCATCACTATTTTGGCTGTTTGCATCTATGGTTTTGCACCTGTGGGTTTTTCTCAGCATGAGACTGTTGATTCTGTAAGTATAATGAGTCACTAACACTCAAAGTTTGATAAATCAGAAATAAATATGTGTTTAACTTTATGTTGTATATCCTTTTGAAGGTTTTAAGAAACAAAGGTGTTTATGAAAATGTCAAGTTTGTGCAGCAGGAGAACTTTTGGATTGGGCCGAGTTCAGTAAGTGTTTATTATCAGCAAGTAATTCAAACAGCTTTCAAAACGGAAAACAAGTAAAGTAAATTTAGATCAGCATTAATTTTCATTTTTTTCAAAGACCAAAAATAAGATAATTACTTGAAGACATTTCTAAGGGCTTTGTATATAAGGATTATATCATCTGGGACTAATTTGAACCATCCCAAATCATATAAAAGGTGGGGTACCTTTTTCATGAATAAGCCATTTTGTTTGCCTCAACAGAAAGAGTCCTGTAAAAGTAAAATCTGACCACCACATGCTGTTTTTATCTTACAAGGAAACATTTGATCTTTTGCTTAACTTGTGAGTCACTATTTGGCGCTTTTTGCTGAGTGAGGGTGGTTCTCTCCTTATTACTTTCCTGTCTGAAAAAGCAGTTTTGAAAGCATGAAACGAGTTGAATTGTATTATATAGTTCCATTTTCAGTGGTTTGAAAGTTAGGTACCCCTCCTTTAATGTTGGATCTACATTGCATAATTACACTCAGCGCATTATACCCACATTTTACATACTTTTAACTTCGAACCGTCTATTGCAGGAAGCCCTAATCCACTTGGGGGCCAAATACTCTCCATGCATGCGGCAGGATAAGCAGGTGCACGATCTTATCAGGGAAAAGAGAGCTATAGAACGCAACTCCGCCTGCTGCGTACGCAACGACCGCTCCGGCTGCGTCCAGACCACGGAGGAGGAGTGCTCGGTCCGTTCAATTATCTCAATCCTAACCTCATTAACTCGAACACAGAATAAGAACTGAGCGTGTCTCTTGTGTGTTTTGGCCTTGCAGAGTACGCTCGCAGTGTGGGTGAAGTGGCCTAAGCATTCCAGCACTCCACTATTAAACGGGAAAGACAGGCAGCATGGCTCAGTCTGCCACCAGGATCCAAGGTAATTCTGTCACACTCTGTCGTGAAAGTGTGGCTATATCATTATATTACTATTATATTATTGTTAGCTTTTTAGAATGATCCATTTATTTGTTTTGTTTGTGTGGATGGATGTGTTTTTGCTGCTACTGGACACATACATTGCTCCTACAGGGATCAATAAAGTGTCTATCTACAGTATCTATCTATCCATCCATCTATATGATTGTGTGGTTGTTAAGCCTAGCGTACATCGACAGAGAAACTGGAGACAACTAGTTGCAAGGCGGCTTTTGGCAACTGAGAGGAGATGATGGGAGATGATCAGTTGCCGAAATCGGTCGATGTGCGCGCTCTTACAACTGGAGATGATCAGTCGGTCTCCAGTTTCAGTCAGTTGCCCGTGTTCTACTTTTCGGCAACTAGTTGTCCTCAGTTTCGGAGATATGACCCGATGTGCGCGCTCCATGCGCCGCTCCGACAACGTGTGTGTATTGCGTGTATTGCGAGCCCGCAACAGTTTATGTCAGAAAACACACTGTAGTTGAGGCCAGTTGCTGTCGATGTACGCGCTGTTATTCCCGAGACTGGTCTGCGACTGGGAGTTACCCGTTTTCGTCAGATTGTCGATGTGTGCGGGGCAGCAACTCATATGCAACGGATATAATCAGTTGCCAGTCCGATGTACGCTAGGCTTTAGGCATGGGATGGTTAGGTCCAAGAGAGAAAAAAAAAAGATTAGATTGTAGAGAAAAAAAAACTGTCCTATTGTCAAATTGTTGAGTTAAATTGACACATGGGGCGACAGTAGCTCACTTGGTAGCGCATTGGCCTTAAGGCCTGAAGGTCGTGGGTTCATTTCCCACCTCGACACCTTCTCCACCGACTCCCAGTGATGACCGCTGTCGTTGTGTCCTTGGGCAAGACACTTAACCCCACTTTGCCTGACGCCTCCACTGAAAGATCTCAGCTCCTGTGGACTCACCCCCTGCAGGAGGATCAGTGAGGGGCTGGTGCTCTGTGTACTGGGAGCAGCTCTGACTGCTACCCCCCGACCCAGAAATGGATTAAGGGAAAGAAAATGGATGGATGGAATTGACACATGCACATAAAATTAGTAAAATTGTTTGCTAATTTCCTGTTAGCACATTTCCTGTCTTTTGCACAACCTGAGTGATACCATTTATGCCAAATTTCTTCATTGTGAGATCAATAAAGTCTATCTTTATTGCGGCACGGTGGCTGAGTGGATAGCACTCTCGTCTCTCAGCAAGAAGGCCAAATCCCGGTCGGAACACGGGCCTTTCTGAGTGGAGTTTGCATGCTCTCCCCCTGTCTGCGTAGGTTTCCTCCGAGCGCTCCGGTTTTCCCTACCACTAAAAACACGCACAATAGGTATGAATGAAATGAGAGAGTGAATGGTGTTGATTGGGGCTGATGGTCCAGTGTGTTCGGCGACTCGCTTCTGTCATCACTGTGTGTGGACTGGAACAATATCTGAACTCTGAACATTGTAAAGCGCTTTAATTGGAAAATGCGCTATATAAATAAACATTACTTACTTACTTACTATCTTATCTTATTTTATTAAAGAAAAATAAGTATGAATGCTGGTCATTACAATGATAATGATACATATTTACTTTTGTGTAGTCATACAAAACAAAATCTAATTTTAAGTCCATTCACATGTTCAAAAGGGAGTTGGAAGAAGTAATAAAAACATATACGGCCCTAACCCTCGTTTGTTTGTGGAAACGTCTTTTTTCTTTACAATATTCATCATTGATGAGTTTTGAAAGTGTAGAATGATACTGCTTTATTTCTAACCCTCTGTCAGTCTATTTCACACGTTAACGCCACAAATATTCAAATTGCAATCTTTGTTTTGTTTTTAGGACATGTCTTGAACCTGCTTCTGTTTCGCCGCACGAATGGCCAGACGACATCACCAAATGGCCAGTGAGTAAAGCTTAAATCATGTCTGTTTGTTGTTTCAATTCAGATTCAGTATTTTTTGTATGCTATATTTATCACACGCATTCAGTAAAACCAAATTACTTTCATCCATCCATCCTTTTTTTCCTGCTTTATCCATTGCCGGGTCAGGAGCAGAAGTGTAAGCATAGATGCCCAGACTTCCCAATCCACACACACCTCCTCCAGCTCTTCTGGGGGAACTCCAAGGCCAAATTACTTTCAATGTGTTAAATATTACAGTCTCTCCTTTCTTTACCTCCTCAGATTTGCACCAGGTACAATACAGGGAACCACACCAACCTGCCTCACATCGACTGCACCATCACGGGGCGCCCCTGCTGCATCGGAACCAAAGGAAGGTCCGTGGGAATACACACCGCACAGTTTAATATTTCACCGAAAGACGCACAAAATAACAATATATTTATTTCCCCGATAAGGTGTGAAATCACATCTCGAGAATATTGTGACTTTATGAATGGCTACTTTCACGAAGAAGCCACTCTCTGCTCTCAAGTACGTTGCTTTCACTTGTATTTAAAGAAGAAATATTAGTCATTGTTTTTGGACATTGGAAGTAACAATAAGACGATGGAATTTGTCTATTCATGTTTTAGAATGTGAAATAGCCTTTGTAGAAAATATACTGTATGGCGAAACAAGTATAATGGGTAAAAAATGCTTTCTGCCTGTAACTCCCTATGCTACCACCAGAGACAGGAGGTGAACTTGTCTTTCTTTTGTTTTTCAAACTACATCAAAAATGGCTGCAAAGACAAGTAAGGGACATGATTTCACCTGAGAAATTACTAAAATGATTTTAAAATGAATAACATACTTATAGTGAGTGGGTGTGATGTCATAAAGGTACAGTGACATCATACTTTTACACGACTGAGACATGAGCTTTTAGACAGAGTTACATTGTGCTAGAAGTTCCTAATATTAGAGTGGATGGATCTAAAAACAACTCTAGGTCTGTTTTTGATTAGAGGAAAATGTTGTAACCTGGTAAAAGGAGAGTTATGGTTTGGTTGTCTGTTTTCCGGTTATTCTCTTTCATATTCATGTCTAAATGGTTAATTATTAGGACACATTTTTCCACAGGTGCACTGTATGGATGATGTCTGTGGGCTGCTCCCATTCCTCAACCCTGAAATCCCAGATCAATTTTATAGACTGTGGCTCTCACTTTTCCTGCATGCCGGGTGAGTGTGACTATTCTACAATTGTCATTATTATTGATTTTGCATTGCTAAAATGAGAAGGCAGAAGAGCCCCATGTGTTGGACATAGCGAACAAACGTCACATTGTCAAAAACCAGTTCAGAAAAATGTGTGCTTCTTGATGCTGAAAACACAGATTAGAGAACTACTCTACTATTATTGTATATGCATAGTATAGGATTATAATATCTGCATTGATCATGAAGAACAGAAATGACAGTAAACCCCCATAAGTCAGAAGAATCATCATTCTCAAGACACTTAGTTTACAGTAATGATGCTTTTACCAAAGTAGAGCGTGATAACGGCCGGGCACCTGTGATTTTTACCAGGACCGGAATCCACACATATAGATTGATACTTTATTGATCCCCCATAGGAGAAATTCAGGTGTCCAGCAGCAGAAAAATACATTTGTACATTATAGACATTTCTAACTGACTTCACAACAATAGACCAACATTTTAACTCAGAAGCAGAAGGAACAAAGGATCTCGTGAACGTTGGGCAGCGCAGTGATATAAGCCTGTTGCTACGACGACTCCTCTGAGCGCCATAGTGTCATGCTGAGGGAGTCTGGAGATCATTTGATATGAGATCATTGTGTGGCCTCCGCTCCTGCAGTTATTTGAAAACAGATAAGATCCATGTTAAAAATAGTCTTTATTCCTAAAGCCCAAAAACTGATTTCTAACTGTTTCTCCAGTCAGATATTGTGACTAAAGGCTCACATTTCAATAGATTTAATAAGAAACAAATAGCACCTTATAGATGCTATCTTGAATGTAATATTCTTGAATATTCACAATCCGTATGAAGCTGAATTGGAAATAATATTGGATTATTCATCCCTGATGATTATATATACATTATATTTGCAAACTAAGCTCTTAGTTGTTGATGTATCAAATATACATTATTTCCGTACATTCTGGCCCTTAAACCGGATCTTGAGAATTAAACTGTGAAGATTTTGAGACATCTAGGCTGATAATATTCAAGGTTTAAAAGAAGTAGGACTTTAGAAACAGATGTTTCGCAACCAACCAGGCTGTTTGATGACTGTTGGTGACCACTCTCAGGCTTGACCTCCCACGACTACATCTAGCGGGTAGCACAGTTAGGATAACTTGAGAATATTTAATTTCTTTCCATTACAATGTGAAAATGTATGTTGTAACGGGACTGAAGGCAGAGGTGTCAAACAGGTCCTCAAAGGGCCGGTGTGGCTGCAGGTTTTAATTCCAACCAAGTAGGAGCACACCAGACTCAAACCATTTCCTCAAGTGAGTCCATTCTTTCCCTGAAGACTTGTCCAAATGAGTCAGGTGTGCTGCTGCTTGGTTGTAAATAAAATAATTTGACTGAGATATTACAGAAACTAATTTAAAAGCAATTACTTTGTTTTAAAAGACTGTTGTGTCAACTTTTGAAACAAAGTCTTTAGACAGCAGAGGCAGGGGGATGTGTTTGTGCCAAAACATTTCTCTCAAAACAACACCAGTTAGGGTTTGGACAAGAGGATAGTGTTACAGTATAACATGGTTAACAATATCTTTCCTTTTAGTTGTTTGATTATAAACAACAGCAGTATGTAATTCCTGTAATTATCAAAGCCCTCTTTCTAGTGACTGTACATGCATATTTATTTAACTATAGTGCTGCACTGTTCAATAATGTAAAATATTTAAGCTGTGAATTAGATCATAGATTTCCTTCAGCCAGCCGCATGTGGAATTGTCTTTTGTAACTACATTCTGTGAGTCTGGAGAAAGAGCTGACCTCAGAGCCATCCCATCATCTTCCGTCTGTCTGCTGTCTGCATAAGGGTAATTTAACAAAGTGCCCCACAGTGTTGCCAACTCATTAAGCCGGGGTGAGATATGAGCGTTGAGGGCACTCACGCTTACAGACGGGGATTACCTTTCCAACACGTGGAGGTTCTTTACCACGGATCACGTCATCACTTTTAACACTGTTTTCACCTATGGAATCCACGGGGATGACGCTGCTGTGAGGAGCTCCCACCAGAGCAGCTGTCAGGGAGGGTCTGACCCAGTGTAGACGTTCTGTCTTTGGAAAATAAACTACAGGCCTTTTCAGTCATGAACATGTTTTGTTGAAACGGAAATGTTCACAATTGCATGTGGCATAATTCAATTAAGTTTCTCCTAATCTTTCTCTGTCTGGGTCCTTTGACTGTTTGTTTGGATTGAACCAAAATGTAACCAAAGTAAAAAAGGGTTGTGATTGTAAAGTGATGTGCCAATGACTACTATTAACTATGTCTAAATATGTGTTGGTTACAACATTTTAAATAAATTACATGATGGGGTTGTTTTCTTGAGAAAATCAGCTTTAAATTTGGAATAACATGCCATAGTCGCCGATAATGCAAACCTGGGAAAAGTGTGGCCTGGGGGCTACATCTGGCCTGATTTACATTTCTATGCGGCCCACAGACCTTCTCCCCCAGAGGCTTCTATCTTAATATGTACTACCATGGATTTTATGTGTTTATATGTTTTCATTGTTTGCTTTTCAAATCAGTTTTTTGAAAACATTAAACATTACAATTCTATTCTCTTTGATATGACTGCTGTTGTGATTTTGGGCTGAACAATAATACATTGAATTGTAAGGTTACAGACAGGCAGACAGGTGAGGGATGATTGATTGAAATGAATTTGGAAGCCGTACATGTATATCGTTTTGGTCTTATTGTTTTCATCATTATTAACTGTAAAATATTGCTTTGTGTGGCTGTTTTCAGGGCATTCGAGCTCCACTGTCAGACCCCATGCGTACGCGCTTTACAATAAGGATTATTCCGGCACGTGAGGAATCTGATGTAATCTTTTTCTCCCGGCAGGATCCTTCACTGTCTGGTGTCCGTGGCGTTCCAAATGACCATATTACGAGACCTGGAGAAACTGGCCGGGTGGCTGCGAATATCAATCATCTACATCCTTAGTGGCATCACCGGCAATTTGGCTTCAGCCATTTTTCTACCGTACAGAGCAGAGGTGACACAGATTTACCTTCATTAAGCCATCAATGAAAATGAAAACCATGACATAATTATGCTGCATGTTCTCCTCCATCAGAACTAGAACAGTACACCATTGATACTTTAAAAAAATGACATAACATTTTGGACGTAATCACATCATATGATTTCAATCAAGACAAATAATACAATAAAACTGGTGTGTAGGAATAGTCTGCCTGGGGACAAAGTTAGGAGAGGACTTTAAATAAATGCCAAATCTACACTCAGAGCCTCAAGACAAGTCAGCTGATCATTTTCTAAACCACAAATGTGTCGTAAAAACATATTATATGCACTTCTACTCATTTTTGTCTGGGTTTTTCATTTTGTATGTGCTATAGTCAATTAGTCTTAGATTTAGAGTCCATGTTGAGAAATTCTGCTGCACTGGTGAAGTTCTGTTTCTTATCATAGACTTGGTTAAAGCTGCAGTACCTAACTTGTTTGCCAGACCACAGCATGCTGTCTTTATCTTACTAGTTAAAGGCTAAGTGAGGGTTCTCTCATTTTAACTGAAAAAATCTGATCCGAGGATGTGACAGGGGATAGATTTTACATTACTTAGTTACTATTTTGTGTTTTAAAAGTTGTGTACTCCAGCTTTAAGATGTGATAGTAGTTGACAGTGCTAATACAAAACATCAAATTTTAAAATAATATAAGAGAACCTTTATTTGTCCCACTGTGGGTAAATTTCAATGTTGCACGGCACATACAGGAGAGTAGAAAGAGCACACAGGGAGCACACAAAATATACAATATACGTAGCTGCTATGTTTCTGTAAATGCTTCAATAACTATTAACCATTTCTCCTCAATTTTTCCAGGTTGGTCCGGCTGGTTCTCAGTTTGGGATCTTGGCCTGCCTTTTTGTGGAGTTATTTCAGAGTTGGCAAATCCTGGCCCAGCCGTGGAGAGCCTTCACCAAGCTGCTGTGCGTGGTCCTCTTCCTCTTCGCCTTCGGCCTGCTGCCCTGGATCGACAACTTCGCCCACATCTGCGGCTTCATCTCGGGCTTCTTCCTGTCCTTCGCCTTCCTGCCCTACATCAGTTTCGGGCGGATGGACCTGTACCGAAAGCGCTGTCAGATTATCGTGTTCCTGCTGGTGTTTTTCGGGCTGTTCTCCGGCCTCGTGGTGCTATTCTACGTCTATCCCATCAAGTGCGACTGGTGCGAGTTGATTACGTGCATCCCCTTCACGGACAAGTTCTGCGAGAAATACGATCTGAACGCCCATCTCCACTGAGCCAAGGGATTTTTTTTTAAAGTAATTGCAAAGACAGTATATGAACGTCAGTATGTTTCCTGTGAACTATGGTGAAATGCTTGTGTCTTCTATCAGACTAAATATCAAATGGACTTTGTATGTGTTCACTTGCCATTGTCAACACAGTCTAAAAATAAGGTGTGTCTTTTCTAGGCCTCGTCAAGCTACCCTTTACATGTGAGGTGACAGAAAAACAAAGAGAAACTTTACGTGTATTTCAAAGATTTTATTACAATTCAGGCAACGTGACAGAAACGCAGGGACATTCATTCAATACTCACAAAAACCTATGGTGCCTTGTTCAGAAAATGTACCAACTACTGCCATAATTTTGTTACAGTTTGCTGAGCACTCAAATGTTTTATTTGTTTATTGCTTCTCGAGAAGTGATGGTGGTTCTGAATGTGGTAGTGTTTTAGCTACCTTGCTACTCACATGTAACTGAAAATAACAGTAAAAAAAATAACTGAACTCAAATCATGTGTGACGTATAATTTTCTTTGTTTATTTTACATATATATAAAACACACAGAGAAGAGTCCAATTGTTATTTCTATTTCATGCATTTTTTTTTTTACTCTACAAGGACTGATTAATCAACTTTTTAATCAGTCGTAGTAGAGCCTGATCAAGAGAGGGCAGGGGAAAAAAAGCAAGTCCGTCTGTCTGTCTTCCCTCTAATTGGTGGATATTAGATTATTTACACTTCTTTCATTAAAGCAACATATAATACCATAGTGTATTTCATGCTCTGCAAAATTACAAAAATAAATGCAAATATTTCTTTAGACTGCTGCGTATCCAACAGCATATAATTGATGATATTGTAATCTGATTACGTTGGCAGCTGTACCATTTCTCACCCTTGTTTTGATGTAATTATTACTGCCAGTTCTTTTGCATCTATAAAATAGGTCTTCATGTTCGTTCAGTGACTAGCAGCCACTGTTTCTCCGCGTGTACGCCTGTCCGCCCAGCGAGTACTCCATCTCCTGGAAGTGCATGTTGGACACAGAGATGGCGGAGGCCCCTTTCTCCTTGAAGCCGGCTTTGAGGTAGAAGGGAACCAGGAAGTCCTCACAGATCAGCAGCGCTCTGCGGATGCCTGGAACACAGCGCAGGTACTGGAGGTAGCGCCACAGCAGCACGGAGCCTTTTCCCTGCTGCCGACAGTGACGATGGACGGAGAGGATGTGGATGTGGACTGTGGCTGTGTCCGGGACGTGCTGGGTCATGGCCTCCTGTGGGACAAAGGGGAAGATTCAGATCTACACAAGAGCCAATCCACACATAAACAACTGGCTGTTCATTCAATTACAAAAAGGTGAGTGATTAATAAAAGAAAAATGATCAGCTTCCCCCATAGCATTAAACCTATACTGTTATTCATTGGCCTATTATTACATGTCTAATATTCTTACTTGTGAGAGTCTTTCTTTGTCCCAGCCAGAGCCGATGATGAAAGCCACTAGTTGCCCCTCTTCAAACCATCCCAAGGAGAGCTCAGGACACTGCTCCAGGAAACTGAGCACTTCATTCAGAGTGAGTGGACACTCTCCAGAGACAGACACAAATGCTGGTGATAAAGAAGACATTCATGTTTAATTCAAAAACTGTATTATAGAAAAGACATAAACATAAAAGTGCTTGATATACAATTCCATATTGCCACATGGTTTGAATAGTATTTTTGTATTGACTAAATGTTCATGTCCTCTCACCTTCTCTCTCAATCTCAAACACACTGATGGCGTCCTGAGGCGTGAGATTCCTGAACTCGCTGGCCGGTAGTGTGTGTCGTCTCTGTCGTAGTGGACTGATCACACTGACGGGAGTCTTCAAAAAGAATGGCTTGAGAAAAGGCGATCCACTGCTCATCTGCTGTGCCATTATCAATGCTTTGCTTTAGTTTGTTACTATAAATACTGCTTTTGTCTCTCTTCTTCAGCAGCCAAAGCCCTCAAAGATGTTCACCCAGGTCTAGCTGTGAACTTCTTCGTTCCAGAGATGGGACTGCGATGTCATCTGGGATCATTGCTACTTGTCTCTGTCCCTGTCTCTGCGCCCTCCCCTTTTCTCATCCTGCAAAGTGGTCGTCTTAAAGAAGGAAAGCCATCGCACCACTGCACATGTGACCACATGGAATACTTCACATTTCAGATTAACAATATCATCATGTTTTGCAGCTGCACTTTTTAGTGAGATCATCCTACATTGTTGCACATGTACATGATACACATAAGGCAATGGGATCCGACTTTTATGTTTCCTTTTTAAAACATACGTGTGATATCATTTTGTTTATTATGGATAAACCGTTTCCCGGCTCTGCTCTGAAGTACATGTTTGCAGTGAGCTGTTCCCATGTTTTTGTAGATCAAGGGCATATGGGTTAAGAATATCCCACTCAATAGAAGGAGCTCAAAGAGATTTACCAAAGACTAATTAAAATAGAGCACTCCATCCTCACAATGGCTAAACCAGTCCACTCACAATGTTAACACCATGTTTGTTGAGATGATGATGAGGAGGAGAACTTTATATGTTTATACATGGCATTTGTCATAAATAAAACTCTTTATTTGTCACTGTTTGGCGGATAGCCCAGAGATAGAGCAGAAAATACTGTTGTTGTGAGGAAATGCGTCATGTTGGCAAGAGCAATGGAAAATCTTTTTGTGAGAAAAGCTGGACATTTCCACGTGCGACATAGTCCTGCGTGAGAGTGACAGTAGAGAGGCTGCCCCACCACCACCACCAATCACACACACGCACACACACACACACAAGCAAATCATGACAAGATATCATACAAATTGAGACACGTCTAAAAGTCTAGAGAAACTCACGTAGAAATAAGTATCAACATCACAATTACAGTTTTTCTCAGTCGCTTTGGTGCATTTCTCACATCATTCTTCACATTTGCACAACAGTTAGTGTATTTCTCAGAACAATTAGTGCAAACTGCAAAACCTTGTGGATAACCTGCAAAAGTACGTCACTTTCTCAAAATGAAAAGTTAATTCCTTAAAAGCACGTCTTCATGTCAATAAAACTGTCTGTGTCATCAAAATAATAAGTCCTGAAAACATTGAGGATGAACAACACAGTCAAATGACTTAGTCATGTTTTCATTGTGAAAGTTTACTCTGTGTTTTCAATGTAAAAAAGTCAGATCTCGGTGACACTTGGTGAGCACGAAACACGACCTGTACAGCCAAAGACTACAGTGAAGTTACACATGACTGTATTCAGAGAGGTAACTTAGTACGAGACACATATGTATGTACTGTATGTACAGTATGTATGTACTGTATGTCTGTGTACTGTATGTATTTCATATATATACTCTTTGCAATTCTACAGCATTGTGCTACAAAAATACAGTCACTTACAGTATTTACGTAGAACATACAGAATATCATTATAGTAGAACTGTGACAAATGAAAACAATAAAACACACACTTCCTCATGAGTGAAGCTGAAATTCACCTGAGAGAAATTATTCAATTTAGGAAAGCATTTCAGGAAAAAGATAAAGGAGTGTATGAAATGAGGTTGACAGATTTTGATTTTAGAACTAGTTCAACAATTTTGTATGTGATGACCAAAGCGATGAAATGAGGTCTTTTGGTTTTATAGAGAATGACTATTCAGCTTCATAAGTATGTTTCATTTTGACTGAGTGGACAAGCAAATGATAATGTTATAAAACAGCAGAGAATTGTATGAAAGTAACTGATACATGTCCAAAAACATTTGTAATTTGTTCAAAGGAGAAACTGCTACGATGATGTGCAGAAATGACTCAATGTTCTGGAGGTTGAACTAATAGTTTTGAGAACTTTAAGTTTGATGTGAAAAATGCACCAAAGCCACTGAAAAAAATTGTAAACTGCAAGTCACATTTATAGGATTCTGAAGTGTTATTTGTAATGTTATAAGATGATGAAAACTGATCAAGAGCAAGGGCGTTCACTCTAAAACAGTATATTTATTCAATAATCTATTTTAGTTCAGGAAATCTCTGGAATGGTACAAGAAACAAAGACTTTGGAGGTGATCTGTATCACCATCTGGATCAAGGATTCTTTTTTTAATGGAATTCAACTGCACCTCTTGACAGAAGTCTTTTTAATCATAAAACATGGAATATTGCAGTTTAGACAGTTTCTGAAAGAGCAGAGCAAGAAAACATTTAATGCCAATGTTAACACAACTGTTGTGAAACAGTTAGAAAGTACTAAATGAAACATAACTATGAAAACTACAACCTCACAAAGGTCACACTACAGATGTAATTTAATAACGGGTGACAGACAAAATATAAAGACCATATGTTTTAACTTGAAACTTTATTGTTTTACACATGCGCCTATACACAGAAGAGGAAATGTGGGATAATTTCAGCCACAGTCTGGAGCAATCCTGGATACCAGGTCAACAGTGGTCAAGACAGGACAGGAAAGGCACCGTATCAAAGCTGAAAAGGACAGCAGAGGGAATGCAAATGTTTTAGCCTTTATATTAACATGCAAACGCAAGCTTACAAATCAAGATTTACTTGCACTGAAAATTTTAATTTTAAAATCAAAATTGAATGAGTTAATATTAAGAGTAAATGCATAATTGATACATGGGATAATTTTTTTTTTTTTCAATAGAACAGAAAATGACTGTACAGTTTACAGTAAAAACAACATAGTCCGATTCAACAAGCCGCTGTATCAGTTAAAGGCACATAGATCTAAACATATGGAGCTACATCACAGAAGCAGACACACACACACTATACAGAGATCTGCGATAAAACTGCCATCAGGAGCAGGAAAGCAGCATGAGCCACATCTTTGAATATAGCTGTTGGGTAATTCTGCTATAATGAATTGTTGAAATATTGAATAACTCAACAACTTTCATATTATGGATGTGTTTATATATAATAATAAGCAATTCTACACCTTTGCAAATAGCAGTTTCTTAGTACAGTTATAATACATATATATCAAATCATTTCAAAGATTAAACTAAAGTCCATGTGTCATTAAAGGTGGGTTAAATCTTGAGAATACGTCAAACAATGTTGTGCAAATTACAGAAACAAACATGACTTTAAAATCTTTACAAATGAAAATAGTATTTTAAAATCTCTGAAATTTAGTGTCACTAATGGTCATGGTTAAGTGTGCTTAAAAACACTACCCAAGTATTAGGCAGTGAAACGTTATGTCTATTATTATATCCACATGGAATGAAATGTTTAAGACCTACAAAAACATCTTCAGGTTGTGAATTTCAACAAAGTCAAATTCTTCTTTCTAGACAGATGTAAATGTCCACACTATGTCTTGGCTCTCGTCCAGAGTTGGAGGTCAAACTGGGAGAAGCGGATGTTTGTGAATGATGAGACTTAGGAGCCGAGCTGCTCGTCTTCCAAACGATAGTCACTCGTGGAACACAGGAGAGGTTGGCTTGAGCAGTTAGTGCTCTGACTCTTCAGGCTTTCAGTGGACTCAGAGGACCCTAACGTCAAAAAGAACAAAAACAAAAAACACTTACTTTGACATGTCCATATATGTTACACTATGTTGAAATCATAAAAAAGTATGAAAAGAAAACTGAAAGATTAGCAGAATAGACAGGGAAGCCAACATACCAGTTACTCCTCCATACCAATGGAACAGGAGTCAGGACCTAAAGCTGCCAGAGGGGGGCAGTACAGAATAGCAGGATAACAGCAATGTTAGGAAACAGAAGCACAAGAGCACAGAGGTTACAGCCCGAGAGGAGGTAGACAGTGATCTGAACACACAAAGAAGATATCATGTTTGTAAACTGTTACCTGGAAGAGAGAGGTCTCCAGGAGGGTCACTATCAGTTTTGGTCAAGCTGCTGTGCTCACTGCTGCAGTCCTGAAGAATATCTGCCCCCTCGGCCAGTCTGTCCTCTAAACAGTGAAACAGTGCGTTATTTTGCAGCTTTTGTGCTTCATGTGTCGTGAGAAGAAGAAAATCTCACCATCATCTGGAGATAAGGACTCGGCCACATCCTCTGTCGCAGTATTCTGAAAATGATAAACAACAGTCAAAGGCAGGACTGAAGCAGGACTTTCACATGTTGCAAAACACACCTCAGTGGGAGCCGGGCTGCTGGACAGAAGAGTCTGTGGCTGAGCATCAGACATCTCTGACAGCTTCTCCTCATCCTCCTCCTGGATGGGTGAGGAGGGAGACCTCAGGGTGCTAGCGGGAACAAAGACACCTTGTATCACATGCAACAGACTACCGGCCTCGGATTTAAAACTGGGAAAGTTGTTTCACCTGTCAGGAGACTTGCTGACTTTGCTTTTCTGTAGGCTGCTGTCGCTCAAATGCTCTGGAGAGCTCAGCTGTCCTCTGTCTCCTCCCACCCCACCAGAAAAGTTGATGTCATCATAAAGAGGAGCCGATGGGATGGCAGGAGACATGGACCTCAGCCCATTCAGAGCCTCCAGCAAAGAGATGGGTTCAAACCCAGGAGGAACAGAGTCTGTGCTCTGCACAAAGCACATGCCACAGATGATGAATATTAAAAATGATACAAGAAAAAACGTGTCGTAGTGATCTACCTTGCTAACTGTGCTAATGCATTTTAATGGGAACTTGATAGTTTGACTGATAACCACTTGAGTTGACCACACGTGTTAACATATATGTTAACAACTATGTAGTTGGAAACAATATTACCAACTCTACATCAAGCCACAAGAGTTTAACAGCAAGTTTTCATTAAATCAAATTACACATACAATTTCACTTTATAAAATGGAGGAGGGTATAACTAAACAAAATATTGATTCTAAAGGCTTACTGGGAAAACAACTATAATTTGGTTGAGAAGACTTAATTTTACAGTTATAATGCATCAAGCCTAATGTTCACTTTCCTGGTAAAAAATATATATATTAAGTAACCAGTGGCATCTTACGGAGTGCTCGTCGTGGTCCATAGTTTGGGCCAGAACAGGGCTGAAGGACACCGGGGACAAAGCTCCAGGCTTTTTCCTCACAGCTCTAATCTGCAGCAGCGCTCTAAAAGCTGAAAAAAAAACAACAACACTGTTGTGACTTTAGGCATTAATTTTAAAATGTGAGAAACACACTGCTCTTACGCAGTCTGCAGATGGGGCAGTTGTTGGCCTGGTATCGAAGCGTGTCCGCACATGAGTTACAAAGACACAAATGTCGACAGGGCAAAATGAGAGTGTCTCTTAGGTCGGACAGACAGACCACACACTCATTACTGTTGTCACTGTTTTCATCATCTGAAGGCTGCAGAATACAGGTGTATGATAAAAGCTACATTGGCATAGATGTAATTTGTGTAGCTTTCCTTCATGCTCACCTTGGTTTCCTGGTTGTTTTTATTCTCAATCCCATAAATTTCCTGTAAAAGGTAGCTTACACGGTCCACCTACAGATGCAAAGATAACAGATACGAATTCTAGCACTTGACTATTTTCCCAAAAAGTGTTGTATACTTGTACACAAATACATACAAACAAATTGAACACTTACAATTTGCTTCTGTTTCAGAGGTTTGACAGAGAAGCTGCCATCAACATGCTGCAGGAAGAAAATGTTATCTTAGAATCTTCAGTTTATACTGTACATGTGAAAGAAAAGTGTACTCACTCGTTCAAAAGCCGCCAGTAGCACATGAGCATGTCCCAAACAATCTGAACAAATTGCACATTTCCTAAATCAATACAACATTCCAACTTAAATAGTTATAAATACTGAAATACTGTGTTTTGATACCATCTCCTTCATCGACCACAGCTTGGATCACCATGGGAAACACGCCACGGTCCAGGTCGAAGTTTAGCTGAAATGGTAAGAATGCATTATTTAATCTGCAGTGTTCGGTGTCTCTGTGAGCGCCCCTTCATGTAAATACTCACATCTTCCTCTTTCCACTCGCAGAAGTCTATTTTAAATGATGGCATCGAGAACTGTTGGTTCACACCTCTTTTATAGTGCACCGTTTCAGACACCAAAAGTGGGTCCTTGGGACTGTATCTGAAGGAACAGCAGGAAGATTTGTAAGAACGTTTTAAAACAAATAAATAGAATATTGTATTGCTTTGTGCTGAATATAGATTACGATTAAGCGATCCTTTATTCGTCCAACAGCGGGGAAATTTCAGAACACATACTTATTTAATTTTTTGTCTAGATAAAGAGCTAATGTAATAGCTGATTTCTCACTGATGGAGCGTTTCAACAATAATCTGGCATTCTACAGATGTTCATGAATGTGCACAGTCCCTTCCAAACAAATAAATGTTGGAATTTGGATACTTGGATGTCTCATTAGTTAAAGCTTCATACTGATGTGAACATTCACTACACAGTGACCCTGTTTCAAAATCCCTATTATGAAAAACTAACAAGATATTAAAGTAATCTCTCATTATATTATCCTTACACTGCCATCCCATTGGAGAATTCCTCAAACGCTTGACAATACAGAGTGATGGCGACACGAGCATCAGCATCAAAGGTGAATTCAACTCCATACTGAACTTTGGGTTTCCCTCCCTCCTCCACTGGGGTATCGGAGTCATCTTTATATCTATAAAACAGATGATAAGTCATTATGACTGAAAACAAACCGCACTTTGTAGAACAATTACAAAACCAGGTTTAATGTAACACTTACCTGACCAAGCGTAAGGAGTCCTTTCTAATGTTCACCAAGCTCCGTAGGGTTTTCACAGGCTCATGTGGTGCAGGTGTTACATATGGAAACTATTTATTGTGCAGACATTAAAAGTATTATAACAATAGCAAAGGGCGTTGTTAAAACTATGAAAACACAGGAAATCGTGATGACATAATTACCTGCACTGGACGATTGCCAAGAAAGTTAAGGTCCATGTTTTCACCAAAAAGATACCCCTCTGGATGGGGTGTGTCAAATTTTTCTCCTCCCATGAAGAAATGGCTTGCAAAATAATTCCCTACAAGCAAGTAATTGTCAAAATACTTATACTTAGGCAATAATAAAGTTTGACAATACATATCTATTGACATTCAAAATCTGTTTCACATTAAAAGGAAAATATATCAAAAAGAAGGCAGTGCTTCACCCCTTGCCAATGTATCATACAGAATGATGATCTACAGTAAAATAGCTGACGTTAATTGGGGCTAAGTGGCTTTGATGTTAATCAGTGCCATCTTTTGATAATGCTATGATAAACTTACCAGATTTAGGTGGGAATCGGTAAGCCGAGTTGGCCTGGATGTCGATGTCTTCAACACCAGCAATTCTCCTGCTTAATATGGACCCCATTTCTGAGGTCGTTTCTGTAGATGTTAGCCTTAGCCTAAGTTAGCCTAAAGCACAGCGGTGATAAATCTCCGAGACAACTCCTGTGTCCTCGATAAACGGACTTGCAATAACCATATAACTAGCGTACTGTCCACCAAATATAACCAAGTTGGCTATTTTATCATTTTGTCGCTTGGTTCACAAGACCTCTCACGACGCAACACAGGCTAATGCTAATGCTAATGCTAACTCGGAGATGCTGTTGTTTTGCCCAGTGCCTTGTTACGCCGGGGATGGAGGAGCTTGTCTGATTGGCTCTCCCTGAATTTGCGAAAGTGCTACTTTTAACGTTAGCAAAAAACACAAAAAAACAGCTTTAACATGCCTTAGTTCATACAACATAATTTACATGATATTTGTTAAATGTTTTGCATGTTTGCTGTAATTTCATGTGTCACCCACCATGATTCACCTAGCCACAAAATACAAAAAAATAATTTGTTTTCCTCGCAGAACAAAATATGATCTGATCCCGAACATGTTTTTTTAACACATAATTGAAGCCAATGAATAATTAACATGACTTCGTAAATTGATAATGGCTGACGTCAGGCGTTCACCCAGCGTATGTTGTTGGCTGTCACGTCTCTCCGCGGAGGAGTTTCTTGCCAAATAGCGCAGGTAATTACGCGTTTATTTCACTGACAGCGGCAATAAAATATATACCAGTGACATATTATACTGCACCAAGATACCTTAGGCTTTTATTTCAGCGTGACTTCCTAATTGTGTGTTGTGTGTGTGTGCCTACAGCAAAGACGCTAACCACAGCTAGCTAACCTAATCCCAATAACATGTGTAATAGTTCATCATAAATACATAACACGTTTATATAATGACACTTGATTGTTAAATATAAACCCGGTGTGTGGCTGTAACAATTATTAAACTCTGTCAATACTTTAATAGCTGGTGGCATCATGTTGTTATTTACGCTTCGCTAGCAGCTAATGTATCTGTGTTAGCTAAACAAGAAATGGGCCATCATTTAAAATTAAAGTGTGTGACTCTCTATATCAGCAATCATGAGCATCTAAAGTTCCTCACGATGCAAATATACTCTTCTGCTAGCCCCTTGTTTGCACGTTATGTAACGAAGTTATTCAGAGTTAGTTGTGCAAGTAGCTTTGGCTTGGATTAACAGCCTCTAAGGATTAAACAGTAACTAGCAAGAGTACTGTTTCCACTGTTACACACGTTTATTATCTCTTGGTTTTTTGTTTTTTGTTTGTTTTCCCAATAACATAACCCACGCCCTCATAATTTAATTTACTACATTATAACACATTAAACCAATTACCTACTGTCATAAACGCCTACTAAAATAGAGTGGGGAAAATATGGGAAGATTTACTTCATTATCTGACATGCTTTTATTAATACTATGTTTGTTGTACTATATTTTAAGTGGACATATGTTTAAGAAAGATGGCCTGCTGGTAATGTCAATCTTGAAGATGGATGAATATGATGTCTATATTCTATACTAGCTACTTCATATAGTCTTAGCTATGGACATAGCCGTAATTTTTACATTTTAAAGCGTACATGCATCTAGTCTTTCCTGTGTAGTATATTATTAGTAACTGTACACCAATCCTTCAGACTTTACATATTTCTCTCTCCAGAGCAAAATATTAGACATCAGTGAAGCTGTTTTCTGCATTGTTCTTGGCTCAAACATCCGGCAATTATGTCGAGTGATCCTCCTCCACCATATCCTGGGGGACCGAGCGCACCACTTATCCAAGAAAAGAATGGGCAACCTGGTAATGCATACAACTGTTAAACTAGATTGATTTTCAATCTGTTTTATTGTCTCACAAATATGATTTATCATTTATGTAACTTCAGAATATAATCTATAGCATCTGTTCTCTTTGTGATTTGTGTTTTATAAAACAGTAACAACAGCCCAGCCACAACAAGGCAATCCTCCGCCTCCAGACTATGGTCCTCCTCCATATGAAGGACCACACCCTGGGTATCTCCCCCCACATGTTCCAGGAGAAGGAGCTATGCCTATGCCTATGCCTATGCCTATGCCACCCCCACAAGGTTCTCATAACTTTTTTAACATAATTTTTGGTTGTCCAAACCACAAGTGTCAACGTAGATGAAGAATCAATTAAAACTATTTATTGTTTTCTAGACAGATTTCAGATTTCAGACATTATGATGTTTCATAACATTAAACATTTTAACACACAAATTGTGTGGGGTTATAAAATGTATTATATATTACCTGGTCAATCACATGTAAAAAAATAATAAAAAGGTTTGGCACCTCAGAATTAGAATTCTTCTATTGCCATTGTAAGTAACAGGAGGTCATAAACTAAGAATTTGCTTTGGTAAATGGTGCAGGCAAGTATTGAAATAGTAAAAAGTAGACAACATAGCGTGCAAAAAATAATAATAATAATTGTAATAGAATTATAAAATTATGATAAATAATTACACACAATAGACACATTTACCAGTGCAGATTTTCGATGTGTGTCCAGTGGTATGAAGTGTGATATTACCTGCCCTCCAACTTAAATGGAACTCTGTAGCATGAACTCAACCAATTTCCGTATTCCATTATTAACCTTCGTGTAGCGAGCCATGTCTTGTGTGTAGTATAAATTGTACTGAATATATGCCCTTGCGTGCAGGTGGCCACTACCCCCCTCCGCCTGGACACTTCCCACACCCCATGCCTGGACAGATGGGCCCTGGTACCTTCATGCACCCTGGGGGCCACACAGCCACCGTGTTGGCACCCCCAGGAGCCGCCACCACTGTGACTGTGCTGCAGGGAGAGATGTTCCAGACGAGCCCAGTGCAGACCGTATGCCCACACTGTCAGCAGGCCATCGTCACACGCATCTCCCACGACATCGGCCTCATGAACACACTCTTCTGCCTCTTCTGCTTCTTTGTGGGGTAAGTCAGGGGCTCACAGTCCATAGCATATTACAAACACAAACATAAAGTCCACAACAAGGTAACTGTGAAATGCATTTTTTTAAAGACCTTTTGAGATGACTGCTGTTGTGAATTAGCGGGAATCCAAAATACATCAAATTAATAATATAAGGCATCAGTTTGATATAGCACTTTTTGGACACGCAAATATTCTTCATATAAGATGAGATAAACTTTATTGATCTCATAATGGAGACATTTACAATTATACAAAAACAAAATATACCACCACCATTATTCTTTCACCCCATACACGGTGGCAATAAAACTACTACTGAAGCCACAGCTGCCCTGAGGCACACTGTCAGAAGCGAGACAGCTAGTATGTCATTGGCCCCTCCGACTACTTCCAACCAATGTCCATACAGTACAAATACAACAATTCAAGTTGTATTTGTTCTTTTGCTAGCTACTATATAACTCCTACTAGTGCCTCTCAATTGTACCACAAAATATAACAATTTCCTACTTTTTAGTTTTACACAAGGCATTGCAAAAATGTAACAAAAGCGTACTTAAACCGCGGCTAATCATCATAATTATTTATTGGACTGTATAGACTCTAAAATGTGACAAATGACCGTACATAACAAAGACAGCAGCATTATTATATCAAAATCTTAAAATAAGAATCAATAATTTGCTGCGTTTTTGTCAACAATGTTTGTTTGCAAATGTATTCTCTTTGGTAGGATTCACCACATCCCAGGTTGTGTTCATGTTGTAGAAATATATTTCAGTTGGATCTCAATGTTTGATGTTGATGTCTGAAAGTCCACGATATATTTTCGGATTTAAACTGTAAGGTTTTAATGTTACATAAACACAATTTATTTGATCAAAAACTGTACAAAAAGTTGGACTGATGAATGTTACAACTGTTTGTCTATTTCCTCACTTCTTCCTCTCGTCCCCTCTTCACCAGGTGCGATCTGGGCTGCTGCTTGGTTCCCTGCCTCATCGACGACCTAAAGGATGTGACGCACTCTTGTCCGTCCTGTAAGGGGTACATTTACACATACAAGCGTATATGCTAACCACCGACAGCTATTTGATACAACATCCACCTGAATAAACTCGCAGCTGCTTATGACGGGCTTCTTCAGTTTAGTATTGTGACCATAATGTTGTATTCACCAGTTCTCCCTTTTTTCATACTTACTGTGTATATAATTTTGTGTTTCTTTGATCTAATCCCTCACTAAACACTGAAGTATGATGTATTGACTCACATTTGCAAATGAGCCATAATGCAAGAAAGAAGGATTGTAAATTTAATGCATTTATTATGTGAGGTAATGCTAGAAGGCCTCTCTTAGAAAAGACTGTGAAACACTTTACTCAATCACTTATTTATTTAAATTTATAAAACTTAATTGTATTTATGTTCAAATGCTGATATGTCTTTTAATCATTTTTAATACGTCCGTCTGCAGAACTGTGATTTTCCCTTTTTGTTTTGTATGTATGTATGTTATTGGTTTTACCCTTAAATTCTTTTGAATGTGAGATAACTAATGTGTTACCAGCTTGTGGTGGATTGCCCAAGATTGCTGTTACTTGCTAATTGCTTTAATTCTGTACTTTTTGGGACAGTCTGATGACACACAATTAAGACACTAAACATATGCACTTTAAGTTTGAGGATTTTATTTACGCATTATAATCAAGATCTTAGAAACTTTGTTTGATTATTGTTTTAATGCAGCTTGGCCATTTGCATTGTTCATCTGAGAATAATAAAAATATTTCTGAGGGGTAAAATAAATAAATAAAATGCAGCTAGTAGATAAAGAATATAGTTTAACAACAGTAGTTAAATAACCGGGATGTGCATGACATTTGAGCAACTTCTCTTTAGCATCTTGTCACTCGTGCCAGACCTCTTAGTGCCATTGTACGTTTGTCATAAAATGCAGAAAGAAATGTGCTTTTTGTCGCACAATCATCTAAATAACATGTTATCCTTCCGATGGCATTCTGCATGTTAGATTATACAGATATGTTTAACAATGGTTGTTAAAACACACACTAATCCAACTTCTCTATGATAAAGATTAGATAAAAAAACAACACTAACAACTATTGCATACATTTAACATACAAAAGCATGCTCCATCGACACGAGTCGTGTAAAAGCATTCTACTTGGCTCAAGCCATGAAATTAAATGAACGGAACAATTGAACAATTAATTACTGCATTTTCACACGGTTATGAAGGAAAATAGAAGGATTTTGAAGACAATGTATTGTATACCATTGTGGATTATGCTGGTCTGCTATTCTTTCTAAATGTCTGTGATACATACGTTGTGAGTCAAAATTGTTTAACTGTGGTATACAGTTACTATTTTATCAATAAAAATCAAGAACATGTTCTGAAAGCACTTTTATTTCCATGCAAGTTCTGTAACAAAGGCATAATTAGATCGAAAGCGTTTTTGTAATAAATAATATTTCAGGCAAATTAGTTGTGAAGGGTTAATCTCTCCATCTGTGTCCACACAGAACGTTACAACATTTGTAAAATGTTGTCATCGGTTCATCAGCAGATCTGGTCTGAATCTGCATGAAAAACGCCCGTGGATGCTCACACTTGGGGCAGGTTTCTGGGGGGGAAAAACAGGGTTTTTATTCAGAGTTTTTCTACTTAGTGCAATGAGGAGCATATTTTGTTATTCAATTGGATATATAGAAAGCAAAATAAGTTTTACCTGCTGTGGAGTCCACATTCTCCCAAGCTGCAGCTCCGCCGAGAACGTCATCCACCTCCTTCAGCTTTGGGTACTTTCTGTTGTTCACCTGGGCACATGTGAATACATACAGTGTATAATATATTATGTATGAACACACACACACGTATGTATGTACGTACGTATGTATGTACGTACGTACGTACGTACGTATGTATGTATGTATGTATGTATGTACGTACGTATGTATGTATGTATGTATGTATGTATGTATGTATGTATGTATGTATGTATGTATGTATGTATGTATGTATGTATGTATGTATGTATGTATGTATGTATGTATGTATGTACGTACGTACGTACGTACGTACGTATGTATGTATGTATGTACGTACGTACGTACGTACGTATGTATGTATGTATGTGTAATATATATGTATATGTAATATATATATATATGTTATATATATATATATATATATGTATATGTATAATATATATACATACATACATACATACATACAGGTCCTTCTAAAAAGAAATGCATATTGTGAAAAAGTTCATTATTTTCTGTAATGTACTGATAAACATTAATTAGACTTTCATATATTTTAGATTCATTACACACAACTGAAGTAGTTCAAGTCTTTATTATTTTAATATTGATGAATCTGACAAAAAAATTAAAGAAAAAAAAATCCCTATCTCAGAAAATTTGGTACTCTAAATGAGCCATTAACCTAATCATCTGAACCAACAAATTAACTCTAAACACTTGCAGAAGATTCCTGAGGCTTTTAAAAACTCCCGGCCTGGTTCAATACTCAAAACTGCAATCATGGGTAAGACTACCTGACTGCTGTCCAGAAGGCCATCATTGACACCCTCAAGCAAGACGGTAAGACACAAAGACATTTCTGAGCAAATAGGCTGTTTCCAGAGTGCTGTATCAAGGCACCTCAGTGGGAAATCTGTGGAAAGGAAAAAGTGTGGCAGAAAACGCTGCACAACCCCATGAGGTGACCGGACCTTGAGGAGGATGGTGGAGAAGGGCCGATTCCAGACCTTGGGGGACTTGCGGAAGCAGTGGCCTGAGTCTGGAGCAGAAACGTCCACAGCCATCGTGCACAGGTGTGTGCAGGAAATGGGCTACAGAAACCACAACCAGCAACAGCGGCAGAAGCGCCTGACCTGGGCTACAGAGAAGCAGCACTGGACTGTTGCTCAATGGTCCGAAGTACTTTTTTCGGATGAAATCAAGGTGCCAGAGTGTGGAGGAAGACTGGGGAGAAGGAAATGCCAAAATGCCTGAAGTCCAGTGTCAAGTACCCACAGTCGTGATGGTCTGGGGTGTCATGTCAGCTGCTGATGGTGGTCCACTGTGTTTTATCAAGGGCAGGGTCAATGCAGCTGGCTATCAGGAGATTCTGGGGCACTTCATGCTTCCACCTGCTGAAAAGCTTTATGGAGATGAAGAAATCCTTTTTCAGCACGACCTGGCACCTGCTCACAGTGCCAAAACCACTGGTAAATGGTTTACTGACCGTGGGATTACTGTACTCAATTGGCCTGCCAACTCTCCTGACCTGAACCCCATAGAGAATCTGTGAGATATTGTGAAGAGGAAGTTGAGAGTCACCAGACCCTGTGGATGAACTTAAGGCCACTGTCGAAGCATCCTAGGTCTCCATAACACTTCAGCAGTGCCACAGGTTGATTGCCTCCATTCCACACCGTATTGAAGCATTCATTTCTACAAAAGGATTCCTGATCAAGTTATTGAGTGCGTAACTGAACATCATTATTTGAAGGTTGACAATTTTTGTATTAAAAACACTTTTCTTTTATTGGTTGGATGAAATATGCCATTTCTTTTAGATGGGGATTTTTGGTTTTTCTTTACTTTTTTGCCAAAATCATCAATATTAAAACAATAAAAGGATTGAACTACTTTAGTTGTGTGTAATGAATCTAAAATATATGAAAGTCTACTGTTTATCAGTACATTACAGAAAATAATGAAGTTTATCTCAATATACAATTTTTTTTTTAGAAGTACCTGTTTATATGCCCAGGTATATATATATATATATATATATATATATATATATATATATATATATATATATATATATATATGTGTGTGTGTGTGTGTGTGTGTGTAAACTCAATTTGAATTATTTTATAGTTGGTAACTATAATATAAAAATACTCACCTTTCTTGTGATGTTGTGAACGTAGGGACATGTGTTACAGGCAAATCTCATGCATTTTTGTCCCTCTTCGACGATCAAAACGTTTCCACAAGTTGGACAAAACAAAAGCATGTTTCTGGTGAATCACTGACTAGATCTCGTGGAACATTACCGTGATTTATGAACCGTAAACATCAGAAAAGTGGCATTTCTCCACAGTAAACAAACTACTGCAAGGGGTCTGAAACACCGGAAGTTCTGTACAGAAACGCGACTGCCTCCCAGTGTTCATAGCGTGATAACAACGTCGCTGGTGTTCAAATTATTTGATTGACATTCAGACATATATATCCTCACTTAATTCAATGCAAAACAAGTCGACTGTTATTAATTAATATATGCCATGTAAAAAAGGTGCTGTGTCAGTGTCGTACATCCTGGTGTCGTGTCTTCTAAAGCGGAACTAGTATGTTTGGCCAGATGTTGCTTCGGTAACATATATGTGCAACACACAGTGTTTATTTCCCATGGATCCTCAGAATGAATGAAAGAACTTTTGGCTTTTTTTGGCTGAAATATTGTGGTTTCAGGAGCTTGTCGTGGATCTGTAACTTGATTTCAACATTAATTTAGGAAAAACTGCAATTGTTAAATGCTTTGAAGGGATGATGGAGGAACATAACGTGGACACTGCAGAACCAGAGCAAAGTATAAAAGATGAGAAGAAGGAGGACGACGCTGCAGATGAAGAAGAGGATGAAGACGCCCTACCTCATTCAGAAATCCTGGATGTTTTTGAGGAGGGACTGGCTCGTCTGGTGCAGGACCCTCTGCTCTGTGATCTCCCCATAAAGGTTTTTGTTCTATTGTAACCTCAGATGGAAACATGCTTATCCAATAAGTAATACATAAAAATACAGCTTGATTTTTCATTTTGAAAATCTGCGTTAGGTCTAAAATGTAGTTTCTACTATGCCCTATGCACAGTAATAGGGCTGAAAAAAATAATTAAAATTATGATACATTACAACCACAATTATATGCAGAATTGTCCAATTATAGACCAATATCACTACTTCCACAACTTTCGAAAATTCTGGAGAAGCTATTTGCGATTAGACTCAATCAATTTTTAAATGAATTTACGTTATTAAGTAGCAGCCAGTATGGGTTTCGTCCTACTCACTCAACTGCTACAGCGTTAATGGAACTAACTGAAGAGATCACCGATGCTCTAGACAAAAAGCACTATTTAGTAAGCATTTTTGTAGATCTTCAAAAAGCGTTTGATACACTAGACCACAAGATATTGTTGCATAAATTATATAAGTATGGCATTAGAGGTGTGGCACATCAATGGGTTACCAGCTATTTAACAAACAGAAAACAATTTGTTGAAATTGACAAGATAAGGTCTGAGAATTGTAAAATAACTTGCGGGGTACCCCAAGGATCGGTGCTGGGACCTATACTGTTGTTGTTGTATATTAATGATATTATGTCAGTCTCTCAGTTACTTAGGTGCATTCTATTTGCAGATGATACCACTTTATTCTATACAGGGAAAAATGTTAAAGATGTTATTCAAACCGTAGAGAATTAATTCCAGAAAATTATGAAGTGGTTCAATGCCAATAAATTGTCCCTAAATGTTAGTAAAACTAAATTTATGATTTTTTGTAGTAAAAGAAAATATGTTGAAGAGTCATTATTTGTTAATGGATTAGAAATTGAAAGGGCTCATGAGATTAAGTTTTTAGGCGTTATGATTGATGAACATTTGACATGGAAATCACATATTGATAATGTTAAAGTAAAGGTCTCCCAAATTATAGCCGTGCTGCACAAAGTCAAAGACTCTCTAAATAAGAGAGCATTGTTTGTACTGTATAATGCATTAATTGTTCCATATCTGACCTATTGTATTGAAGTTAGGGGAAGTGCCTGCAAAACAAATCTAAATCAGATTTTTCTTCTACAGAAACGAGCCATAAGGGTTGTCACGGGTAGTGGTTATAGAGACACAACTAATCCATTATTGATACAATTAAAAACACTGAAGTTTAATGAACTAGTAGAGTATAACTTGCTGAAAATTATGTATAAAGCTCATCTGGAAAGTTTACCCATGAATTTGCAAAACAGATTCACCAAGAGAAAAAGTAGATACAAATTAAAAGGAAATGAGATCTTTAATAAACCCAGGTTTCAATCTTCTGTAAAGGAAAAATGTATCTCAATCAAAGGAGTTAATCTGTGGAACAGTCTCGAGTGTAAAATCAAAACTTCTTCGTCCGATTTTGTGTTTAAAAAGTCTGTAAAATTATTGATGTTGCAGAAATACATCACTGTGGATCAGTAACCTTTATTTTGTGTTTTGAGTTTGGAATTGCCAAAGTTGCATTAGAGGCTCAAATGCACTGGAACTGTAAAAGATTTTGTGTTGATAGGGGGCAGACATTATTATTAAGTTTTTACTTCTTTCTGCTCATTCATAGTAAATGCTGTTGTTGCATTTGTTCTTAAATGAATGACATAAATAAATAAAAATTAAAAAAAATGTTTAAGAAAAACGTTTCCCTATAAACTTGGTGAGTATGATTTAGTTAAATCTACCAGCGGTAATGATATTCTGAATTTTCTGCGATAAAGCCACAGACTGTTTTAAGTCACAGACGCAATCCGCCATAGCAAGCCTAGTCTCAGTTGTCGCTGATGCACTAGGTAAAGATGAAGTGTGGGAAAGTGCACAACCAGCTGCCTTGTGCGCAGTTTCGAGCTAGTGGCGAATCAAAACTGTTTTCCCATTACTCCTGTATACAAAAAAATGTATGGCAAAGTACGCACATACAAGCACCGGCCACCTTCATTTTTTGCACCATGACCGCAACAAAATCCCATCATCTCCCACCTCATCCAGCCATGCCCTCCTCCATTTACTTTTCACTCCGTTATCAATTGCAACTTGTGCACCTTCTTCCATAAACAACGAATCCATGATTGTGATTGTGCATACATGCTAGGCTAGCTTTGATAAATTAATATAAGACGCACTAACACACTAGACCACACCTCTCTTTTTTTATCACGCTGAGTTTTGCATGCGGTCGCAACCAAGACATGTTTGTTTTTAATATTTACAGTCTATGGTTTGTCCCCATTCCCAGTCCCAGCAAAGTCCGTATTGTATTGTATACATTCCGTTAAATAAAAAAGCATTGCGTTTGGTTAACGTTAATTAATTATGTCCTTCCTTTCGTCTGATAACGCGCCCAGTTTGTACCGCGGGGCTGCTGGCTGTTATTGCTCCGTTCGGGATTCAATCTTCCTTATCCTCTTCTACTTTTCAAAAGCTCCGTGCAGTTGCCAGAAACTTTCATCTCCGTTTTGTCATTGCTAATTTGGCAGCGTCTTCATTTGCGCGTGAGGTCAGCCTCGAGTCATTAGCGCAGCGCACAAGAAGCTTTGGCCACGGCACATTCAAGTCCCACTCGTGATTATATTACTTTTTATTTATATATACATACAGTGCCTTGCAAAAGTATTTGGCCCCCTTGAACCTTTCAACATTTCGCCACATTTCAGGCTTCAAACATAAAGATATAAAATTTAATTTTTTTGTCATGAATCAACAACAAGTGGGACACAATCGTGAAGTGGAACAAAATTTATTGGATAATTTAAACTTTTTTAACAAATAAAAAACTGAAAAGTGGGGCGTGCAATATTATTCGGCCCCTTTTCTTTCAGTGCAGCAAACTCACTCCAGAAGTTCAGTGAGGATCTTTGAATGATCCAATGTTGTCCTAAATGACTGATGATGATCAATAGAATGCACCTGTTCTTTGATAGTCTCAGGGTTCTGTTTAAAGCGCAGAGAGAACCATGAACACAAAGGAACACACCAGGCAGGTCCGAGATACTGTTGTGGAGAAGTTTAAAGCCGGATTTGGATACAAAAAGATTTCCCAAGCTTTAAACATCTCAAGGAGCACTGTGCAAGCAATTATATTGAAATGGAAGGAGTATCAGACCACTGCAAATCTACCAAGACCCGGCCGTCCCTCCAAACTTTCATCTCAAACAAAGAGAAGACTGATCAAAGATGCAGCCAAGAGGCCCATGATCACTCTGGATGAACTGCAGATAACTACAGCTGAGGTGGGAGAGTCTGTCCATAGGACAACAATCAGTCGTGCACTGCACAAATCTGGCCTTTATGGAAGAGTGGCAAGAAGAAAGCCATTTCTCAAAGATATCCATAAAAGTCTCGTTTAAAGTTTGCCACAAGCCACCTGGGAGACACACCAAACATGTGGAAGAAGGTACTCTGGTCAGATGAAACCAAAATCGAACTTTTTGGCCACAATGCAAAACGATATGTTTGGCGTAAAAGCAACACAGCTCATCACCCTGAACACACCATCCCCACTGTCAAACATGGTGGTGGCAGCATCATGGTTTGGGCCTGCTTTTCTTCAGCAGGGACAGGGAAGATGGCTAAAATTTATGGGAAGATGGATGGAGCCAAATACAGGACCGTTCTGGAAGAAAACCTGTTGGAGTCTGCAAAAGACCTGAGACTGGGACGGAGATTTATCTTCCAACAGGACAATGATCCAAAACATAAAGCCAAATCTACAATGGAATGGTTCACAAATGGACGTATCCAGGTGTTAGAATGGCCAAGTCAAAGTCCAGACCTGAATCCAATCGAGAATCTGTGGAAAGAGCTGAAGACTGCTGTTCACAAACGCTCTCCATCCAACCTCACTGAGCTCGAGCTGTTTTGCAAGGAAGAATGGGCAAGAATTCCAGTCTCTCGATGTGCAAAACTGATAGACATACCCCGAGCGATTTGCAGCTGTAATTGCAGCAAAAGGTGGCACTACAAAGTATTAGCGCAAGGGGGCCAAATATTATTGCACGCCCCACTTTTCAGTTTTTTATTTGTTAAAAAAGTTTAAATTGTCCAATAAATTTTGTTCCACTTCACGATTGTGTACCACTTGTTGTTGATTCTTGACAAAAAATTTAATTTTAATATCTTTATGAAACAACAAGTTTAGGCC